GTGGTTGATTAAAAGCGAATAGCCCTTCTGAATATTTTCTTTGAAATTTGTATAGTATTTCGATGTTCAGAAAAAAAACAAAAGATCATAGTAGCACATTGAAATGTTTTGCATTAAAAGACGAATTTTCGCATGCTCGGTGTTATTATGTTACCGAGAGACAAAGAGTAGTAAGACAAACACGATCATATAATATCCAGTCGATATTCTTTATTTTACTCGAAAAGCTTTTGTAAGCACAGACAGACTCCCGATTGCCAGAAATTTAACTCGAATCGAAGTTCGAACTTCGACGAGTCTGCATGATGTAAAAGAAAAGTTTAATTTGAAGAAGAATCAAGTTTCTCGAATTTTCTGTATTTCTTTTATATCTTGGAGGATGCAAATTACAATGGTGAATGCACAATAACGGTTACCCTGCGGTATTTTCTTAGATACCGCGCTCGAATAAGTTACCGTTGGCTAATCTAAAATACCGACGGTATTTTAAAAAAAGTTCGACATGGATTATATTTCTATCAGAGCATTACTTATATCCAACGTATGACTAATATCTTTATCAATTATTTTTTGTTTTGGTAAACTTCGTGCGGGATGATTTGCTGTCCACATTAATTGAGCAAAAACCGTAGGTCCCAAATGAAAACAATAGAACCATAGTTCATCTTTAATTAGTACATTCCACATTGATGGTGCGGAAAATATGACAAGATAAATAGCGACAATTAATGATAGTAAACTGTTAATAGTGAGTAATAGAGATGATCTTGTGATTGTCCATAATTCTGAATTTCTTAATGATGAATAAAATCGACGATAAACATAGAACCATAAAAAATAAAAGGAGGCGACGAGACAAAGAATAATGGCGGAAGATATTTGTCGAATATAAACACTAATATGGAGCTTATCCGACCTGAATGAGAGAATACTAGCAGGTGCAAGTAATATTCCAGATATAACAATAAAGAGAAGTACTGTGATAGGAACGATTCGAATTAATTTTGTTTGAGATTTGAAGAGAATTAACCATTCTATGAGAAACAAATAAATTGGAAAGATGAGCAGACGTTGACCAACAGCGAGAAGGACTCTTGATGCAATAAAAGCACCCTTACTATTTCTTTGAGCATCTGTTAGTGATGCACGAAGAACTGAAAAAATAAACGTAACCAAATGAGCTACGAGGATAACAATAATTAATCTTCGAGCAGGTTGAAATCGACATTGGATAGATTGAATAATCCAGCCCAGCAATGATAGACCAATAATTGTTGAAAAAACGACTGACGTTGATCTGTTTGGCGAATAAACATAAAATGGATATGTTTCTAATAGAAACATGTCATAACATTTTTTCTTCGTTCAAGATTTCGACATATAAAAAAGAGAAGAAGGAACAACACGAATTTTATGACGCGAAAAACGAGTTGTACAATGTTATATAATTCACAGAATCAGAGAAGAAAGAGAAAAAAATAATTTTCAGCAGTATAGAGAGAATAGCTTCCGAACAATAATGACAAAAAATACAGGTTATAATATTTTATGGCCTGAACAGGCAAGACAGCTTGCCCATTCGGGAAAGAAGGCTAACATCTTTTCAGCAGTTCTGCTCGTTAAGGAAAAGGTACATCTGTGCCTCGAATAATAAAGTCTCTGTATGTATGACCTGCATCAGAAAATTTAATTTTCCAAATGTGTAGAAAGAAAGAAAAATGCAAGAGGACGAAGGGGTTCGATATCTATACCGCATTTTGTAGTGTTCTGTTCTCTTTGTCGTGAAAATATTTATACATAACTATTACATCTGTCTTCTCGGACATTCCAAAACTTGCTTTCGCTTTTATAAATATGGTTAAAAGGAAACTCGCAGCAACTGCTGTCTGTGCATATATATACGTACTATTTCAGTCCTGCCGAAACGGGCAATACCGATCTTGCCCCATCGAGCAATATTGCCAAATCGGGCAAGATAAATGCTCAAAATTGAGCTATGTTTGCTATTCGTCTCTGTCATAACAGAGAAAGCAGGTTGAACACTTAACTTCAATATACGGCGAATAATCGGTGCACCAGGAGTAGAATGAACACTTCTCGCCCATTAGGCGATTGTTGGTTTTTCAGATCAGATCTTGTCCGAACGGGCAAGTGACAACGGACTGCCCGGTAACCGCTGGTATTTTGCCGATATTAAGGAGCTGAGAAATCAAAGAAAAACAGAAGCGTCAAGGTGATCATAGCTATCCATGAGACTTATCGCACTCGGTTATTTAATATAACTAAGTCCTAATCCACAACTTATTATTTAAGCATTTTCCGTCATCTTACCGTATCAAGCCACAAAGTTATACGATACAGCCGTGTTTGTAATGTTTTTAATTAAAAAGTATCCTTTTAACTTTATAGTAAGGTGCCGGCAATT